CGGGGACCCCGCTGGTGCACCCGCCCCCGCCGGGGACCCCCATAGCGCACCCGCCGCCTCCGGTGACCCCGCTGGTGCACCCCCCGCCGCCAGTGACCCCGCTGGTGCACCCCCCGCCGCCCGTGACGCCGATGACGCAGCCGACGACGCCAGGAGTCCTGATGGCCCAGCCGATGACGCCCGGAGTCCTGATGGTCCATCCTTCTGCACCAGGAGCGCCGATGGCCCAGCCGCCGCCGCCTCTGGGAGCCCCGCTGGCCAAACCTCCGGCTTCCAACCTCATGATGATCCCCCAGGGCGGCAGAGCGCCCATCATCCAGCCGCCGGTGTCCGGAGCGCCCATGGCGCAACCAGTGGCTCCCCCGGCCCAGTCACTGGCCACTTGGGCCCCGCACGGTCAGCCCTTGATCTTGCAAATCCAGTCTCAGGTCGTCAGGGCCCCGCCACAAGTTCCCCAGCTCCCTCCACTGCCTCAGATACCCCAGCTGCCCCAACCGCCCCAGGTGCAGCTGGCCACGCCCCCCGGCTGGCAAACTACCACACCTGGGTGGCAGGCCCCGCCCCAGGCCTGGCAAGCCACGCCCTTGACCTGGCATACCACTCAGGTCACGTGGCAGGCCCCTGCCATCGCCTGGCAGGCCCCCCCGCCACCCCCGCCACCCCCGCCGCCACCCCCAGTGCGCCAGGGGCCCCCCCCAGCCATGCGTTCCGGGCCTACTCCTATCCGCCCTGGACCACCCCCAGGCATGCGGCAGAGCCAGAATACGGGCCGCCAGGCCTCACCCAGCATGCGCCAGACCCCGCCCTCCATGCGCCAGCCGCCGCTGCTCCGCCAGATGCCCATCCGGCCGGCTCCGCAGGCCTTGGCGTCTCAGCCGCAGCTCTGGCACACCCTGCCGCCTCCCCCACCCTTGCGGCAGGCCCCGCAGGCTCGTCTGCTGGCCCAGCAGGCCCAGGGGCCGCCACCTGCGCTGCAGGGACCCGTGGTGCTGCCCGTTGGCCCCCAGGCGGCCCAGTTAGTGCTGCCCGTCTCACAGGCTGACCCCGAGGCTGACCCTGAGGCTAGCTCGGAGGAGGACGAGGCCTCAGAGGAGGCCCCCGCGGCCGTGCACTGCCCATCCATCATCTGGCAGGGCCCCAAAGGCCAGGTCCTCGTGCCAGAGGAGCTGCCCATGTCGCTGGAGTACGAGGAGGTGCAGCAGGCCGAGGAGGGACCCAGTCACTTCTGGCAGCCTCTGCCCGCCCAGGAGGCCCAGGAGCAGGCCCCCGTGATGGTCCAGCTGGAGCAGCAGCCCTTTCGGGGGGCTCAGGACCCCCAAAAAGCCAGGCAGACTCGGCTACCCTCCCAGGAGGCCGAGCCCACGGGCTTGCAGGCAGAAATGCCAACAGTGCAACTGCAACCATCCTGGGAAGGGTCACCCCCCATGCTGCAGGGGGAACCCGAAGGACCCCTAGAGGCGACAAATTTTCCCAGGGGTGCCTCTAGCTCATTTATGACTCCAGGAGGAGAATCTAGGGCCTCTAGCTCTAGAGAGCACGGGGGCTCTTCTAGAGAACGCGGGACCTCTTCGAAGGAGAAAAAGGGCCCTCCCAAAGATCGCATGATCTTTGCTGCCACCTTCAGTGCTACCAGGGCGATGCCAGTCTCCAGGGCACACCTGCCACCTGCCTGGAGGAACTGGTCAGCCACCTCGGAGACCTGCATTGCCACCCCGAGGGTCTCTCCATCTACCTCCTACTACCGGGCTGCCTCTCCTCATGCCTTCACAGGCCCACTGGCCACCACTGAGGGCCCCAGGCCACTGCCCTTTTGTCTGCCTGGGCCATACGCCTGCATGGGGCCACCCCTGCCTGCCGTCCAGTGGGTTCCAGAACCCCAGGTGAATGCCCCGAGAGCATTCAAGAGGGTGCCCACCGTCCCCATGGCGACAGCCGCTGTCCCGATGGCCACAGCCGTTGTCCCCCCGGTGGTGGCGGCGGCAGCAGCAGCAGCAGCGGCGGCAGCTGCCCCTGCTCAGGAGGACTCCAAGACCGTGGAGCCACCACGCCGCCCGTGCAAAGCCACACGGAAGAAGAAGCATCTGGAACCTAAAGAGGACAGGGGGGGCCGCCGGGTGGCCATGTGTGACTTTCTGGGCCTGCCAGCTGGGGAGGATCCCAGAGTGTGTTACTGGGAGGGACAGGGTTCTGACCAGCTTCTGGGGGACTACCCCTACATCTCTGGTGCCATAAGTGGCTGGGAGTGCAACAATACCTCCAGGATCCTGAGTGGGTGGGAACCACCCAGCACCTGCTGGGCAGTGGATGGCCCCAGCACCTCCAGAGCCACAGGTCACTGCAGAGGCCCACACTGCTCTCTGCCATTAATCAGTGAGGCCTTCTGTCTCTCTCAGGGATCCAGGGCCACCCAGAGGGGTCGCCAGGGGGCACTGGAGCCATTGTCTCCCTCAGATGGGAGAACAGATCCACTGGTGCAATTTCTCTTGGTCAATGACCAAGTCCAGGTGCCCATCCAGCACTCGGAGATGGTAAATGTCGTCCTCCGAGAATACAACCCCGAGTGCTTTGATGATGATGATGACGAGGACGACACTACCACCATGAAGTGGGGGTGTGCCTTTGGTCGGTCAAAGGGCGGCTGTGCCAGAAGCCGGACCGATGTGATCATGCAGAAGATGGGGGAGGCTCAGGGTGGTTTTGTGGCTCCCTGCTTAGACAGGCCCAAGTTTGGCCTTCTGATGGTGGTGCTGAGCCTCATCTTCATGAAAGGCAACTGCATCCGGGAGAGTCTGATCTTTCATTTTCTCTTCCGGCTAGGGCTGGATGTCCGGGAGACCACTGGTCTCTTTGGGAATGCAAGGAAGCTCATTACGGATGAGTTTGTGAGGCACAAGTACCTGGAGTACAGGAGGATCCCTTGCACTGAGCCAGCGGAGTACGAACTCCTCTGGGGGCCCCGGGCATTCCTTGAGACCAGCAAGATGCTGGTCCTGAGGTTCCTGGCCAAACTTCACAGGATCGACCCCCAGAGCTGGCCCTTCCATTACCTGGAGGCGCTGGCAGAGTTTGACAGTGATGATGAGGAGGATGTGGAGGTGGAGGTGGAGGTGGAGGTGGTGGAGGAGGAGGAGGGCGATGACAATGAATCTGATGAGGAGCCCAGCAGCAGCACGGCTCCCCGCTAAGATGGGTTACAGAGAGACATCATTCCAGTGGGTCGAGGGCCAGAGGCCACAGAGAGACTATGGGGGGGAGGGGGAAGGGGTAATCTGTTCCTGTTGGGGTTTTTTTACATAAAAAAATCCAGTTCTGTGGTACGTGATGTGAACTTGAAGTTTTCAACCTGATCGTGTACCTTGCCAAAGCTTTTTGTACGTTCTTATGTGGTGTTCATTGGGACTGGCTGCTGTTCTCTTTGGTATTTTTTGGCCTCTGTAATTTTTTTTTGTCAATGAGATGTATGGTTTGCTGTCATGTATCCTCAGTGTTATGTTCTTGTATCAGAGCTGTGCAGATTTTGTGAAACGAATCGCTGAGTGAAACTGTTGTTCCCCTTTTTTCTGGTACAGTTCGTGTGTGAACTTTGTGGTGGGGTTTGTTCTTTGACTGTGAAATGCCTTGTCAGCTTAAAAATTATCTGGAGAAAATCTAAAGATCTATATCTACAGATAAAATATTCTTTCAGTATAAGATGGAAGTGTTTGTCTTTATTCTAATTCTCACCCTCTTAGGAGCCAAGTTACATCACACTGTTGGAATTGGAACAAAGATCAAGATCATTTATGCACAATATACATATATATATATATATATATATATATTTAAAAATATAGTAAGGCAGTTTCCAAGGAAAGTAGATTGTGGTGGGTGGCAAAACATGAGATTCCCAGTCAGCACAAAGTAAAACTTCACAAGTTTGGTATATGCCACCGAGAACCTCTATCTGGTTGGATTTTTAATCCCCAAGTTAAACAAACAAACAGGTAAACATACACACACGTTAGCAGCAAGCCCATAAAATTATAATGTGAAAGAAATTCCCCGCCCCCAGCAACTAGCATCCATCAAGATCATTAGCCACACGCAGAAAGGGACAAGGGGCCGCTTGTCAGTCTTGTGGCCCTCAGAGAGGGGGGAGGAATGGGAGTGCAACCATGGAGATGTGGGAAAGATGTGGAAAAAGAAAGATGTTGAGGGGCTAGGGACCCTGAAGACTGCAGGATAGGCTGATGAAATTGGAATTCTTTGGGACATAGACTGGACTAGGGTGGGGGTTAAGGGGAGGAGGAATCTAAATGAGTGTGGTCAGCTCTTGAGTAAGGGAGGTGTAAGGGGCAGAAGGAAGAGAATCATGGGAGGGACTAAACTGGCCCAAGTGGGAGTAAGCTATGTGCACACCTGTGAAGGTAGGCTACGAGGGACTTCCCTGGGGTCATTGTTCTTCCTGCAAATAGGGCATATTTCCACTGCTACCCCTTGTCACAATTGAGAAACTCCAGACCCCTGTGTGTGTGTGTGTGTGTGTGTGTATACACACGCATGTGTGCGAATACATGGGCATATGCATGTGTGGTTAGGAAATTCTATGTGAGGTTAATAGCAATTGTGGGTTTTATCTGCCACCTACTGGCCATGCTACTGTACTGCAGGTAGCGGGGATGCCAACGCCCTTTCTGCAGTTTTATGTCTTACCTAGATGGTAAGTAAGTACAGGTGGTAGCCGCCACATGCATCAGGACTTTGGTCCACAACCTTACCTACATCTGCGCCCAATGCTTCCTTCTTTCTCCATATAGTACAGGCCAAGTTGAAAGCCCTTCCCAAGGCCAATCCAAGGGCCATAGGCCCTGTAGCTTGGCCAATTGGGAACCCTGGGGAGGGGGGGGGCAGGAAATATGGAGAGACTGGATCCCTTCCGGTCACAACAGAGCTAAAGTTATCTTTTTGTTTTTGTTTTTCACACAACTGGACTTATTCCAGATCTGACTGGACAAAGGTGATTTTTACCAAAGTACCTAGATTCCCCCAAAACTCAGTCCTGCTATCTGAATGCTACCTTCAGTTATTTTTGATGACCAAACAAATACTCAGTGAAGATGATATATACCCCAGTAGAGAGCAATACTGAAGCTCAGTTTCTTGCTTGGTTTTAATTTACATATAATCTCTTGTGCCAGTACTGGGACTCAAACTCAAGGTCTCACACTCTTTCCGCCCGCCCCCAGCCATGGGGTTTGAAGCTCAGGGTCCGGATGCTGTCTGTTAGCTTTTGTGCTCAAGGCTTCTGCTCAACCACTTTGAGCCACAGCCTCACTTCTGGCTTTCTGGTAGCTCACTGGAAATAAGAGACTCAGACTTTTTCTGCCCAGGCTGGCTTTGAACTCTGGTACTTAGATCTCAGCCTCTTGAGCAGTTTGAAGTACAGGCATCAGCTGCAGGCAGATGCCAGCTAAGGTCTCATACTTTTTTTTTTTTTGTGCTGGTCATGGGGCCTGAACTCTGGGCCTGGGTGCTGTCCCTCAGCTCTTCAGCTCAAGGCGAGCACTCTACCACTTGAGCCACCTTCCCAGCCCCAGGCCTCACACTCCTGCTAGGCCTTTTTGCTCATAGTTGATGCTCTACCACTTGAGCCACACCTTTAACTCTGGCTTTTGTTGGCCGATGGGAGATAGGAGTCTTAGAGATTTGTCTGCCTAGGCAGGCTTCGAACATCAGACCCTAGATGTCAGTAACTGTGAGGAAGATAGGATTGCAGGCGTGAGCCACTCAGTTTATTTATAATCATTTCTATGGTTTTTCTCCCAACCATTTACTCATGGGGACCTTGAGCAGTATTTGTGGAGCAGTATTTGGAGAGATTTATTCTACAACGTTGTCGCTATATGCCAGGGGGAGCTGGCTTTTTTCCAGCTTGGTTCTGCTGCTCATATAGAGTCCTCTGAACTCAGGATGGGAATAAGTCTTTTCTTTTTCTTTTTTTAGTTCTTTTTTATTTCATTTTTATTGTTATTATAAACGTGATGCACAGAGGTGTTACAGTTACATAAATCAAATAAAGAGGACATTTCTTTTTGGACAGTGTCACCCCTTCCCTCGTTCTTTCCCAGTTTTTCCCGCCTGTCCCCACCCACAAGTTGTAGAGTTCATTTTAACATAGTGTCTAGTTAGTACCACAGCTGCATTTGTTCACCCTTTGTCCCTCCATTTCTGTGCTCCCCCTTACCCTCCCAAAAACAGATTGATAAAAAAAAACAAAGAAAAAAAAGAAAAGAAAACCAAAACAACAACAAAGGGGAAAATCTCTTGCTTCCATTTCCTGGAGTTCATTCCAATAAATATTACTGCATATGCTCAGAGGCACATAGGCATTGTGCCTTTGTGTTCTTCCCCTAAAAATATCCTCCTTTGGTCTCACTGTGTGTGAATGTCTAGAGTCCTGTATGATGTATCATGTCCCAGAGTATTTTATATCTGGCTTCCATATTAATAGATGCAAATTTGAATTTTTTCAAATTATGAGACATAAATGACAATAACCACAAAATGCACTTTCTATGTTACAAATGAAAAACTACATAAGCTAAACATTGCACTAGGTATTTTGAAAGCTGATGTTAAGAAAACAGAAGGCAGAATGTAAAGATGATATGCAAAATAGATGAAACTATGTGGAAACAAATTTAAGACCTAGTATTTTGAAAGTGTGAACAGGTAAATAAACATAGCACAAATATTTTCCCATAAAATGGAAAAAAATAAAACCCTTATAAGTAAATGAACTGAAAGCATCAAGGAGGATTAATAAAAACAGGAAACAGTTGGGCACTGGTGGCTCAAGCCTGTCATCCTAGCTACTGAGGAGGCTGAGATCTGAGGATCACAGTTCAAAGCCAGCCCAGGCAGGAAAGTCCATGAGACTCCTATCTCAATTAACCACCCCTAAACCGGAAGTGATGTTGTACTCAAAGTGGTAGAGCACTAGCCTTGACCAAAAAGATCTCAGGGACAGCTCCCAGGCCTGGAGTAGAGGCCCCACTATTGGGGGGGAAAAAAGAAAAGAAACAACTGATTTCCTTAGTATCTAAAGACAGAAATATTCCACCAGTATTATAATTTCCATTAATGATATTGGCATACCAAACAGCATAAAAGTGCATGAACATCCAGTATGAATAATGTTATTATGAAAATTGAATCCATGTACACATCTGAAAAAAAGCATAAGCAATGCTATTTACCCCGAAGTCAGTGAATCTTCAAGGAAATAAAACATTGTGGCCTTCCCATGGAAGTAATCTGAAATAAAAGCAAAGAAATAATCGTCAAGGGAATCGCGTGTAGAAGTTGAGAAGACTGTGATCCAAGGGTTGTGCTGCCTAAAAAGACTGTCCCTGGACAGAGCTAAGGTTTAGTGATGTTTCCCTTTAAATGTAGGAACTCTTCACTTAGGGTCCTTGACTTCCATTGATTGCAGAATAGAATTTCTGGACACGTCACAACGGTAATAAAACTTGGTGGAGCTTTCGTAAGTAAACAAGCAGGCAAGCAGACAGACAAAAGCAAACAAACACACAGAACGGCAGGGGCACACTCTAGCGTAGGGTGGGTGCTCTTACAGAAGATACACACACACACACACACACACACACACACACACACACACACACACACGAGTGCTCCTTGGCTGTTGGAGTATTTATAGGGTAAAGGCAGGGGGTCTGGCTTCAAAGTTATGTAAAGATAGGTGCTTTGTCTTTGCTTTAATCACACTTGGTGTGACTTTCTGAGTTTCTAGGTGAGAATGCATCCTGACATAAAACAGATCCTTACCCTTGAGATAAAGAGGCACCCTGCTATCTGCATTTTAGGGTAGGAGGTGGCTTAAGTTTGGGGAAGCATTTTTCTGAGGAAGGCATACATCGTGCCAGACCAAGTGTTAATTCTTGGGGTGAGGCATACTCTCTCAGGAAAGCATGCCTCCTGCTGTTTCTCTTTAAAGCGAAGATGGCATTTCTATGTTGCTAAATACCATATTTCTGAATTGCCTTCGCCAGGCCTTAATTTCCCTAAGTTACCTGCTTTAATTCCCCTTAAATGACTTTTGTTCCCGGAATCTTAAGGGAAGTTCATGAAGGGATGTCCCCTGTGATGGCTTTAAGATGACTGTACCTCATTTTCCCTTAGCCCATCCAGTTTCAAAACCATAGGGTTCCTCAGAAAACAACTTGACATTTGATGTAAATGGATATAATGAAAGACTGCGTATCCAAAATGATAGGTTGTAAAGCAGTTTTAAAATCTACATCTGAACAGTAGTTCAAGTATGTACCAGCGTATGATAGCCATAAAAGGATTTCAGTAGAAGATTATTTCACATTAGGCTGTATGAGTTTTAGTGGAAAGAAAACACAAAGTAGTACATATGTCTATGTTTTGTTTTCTTTGTGCCAGTATTAAGGCTTCAACTCAGAACTTCGTGCTTTTACTTTAGTATTTTTGCTGAAGGGTGGTGCAATACCACTTCAGACATAGCTCCACTTCCACTTATTTTTTGTTTTGGGTCTGATGTGGGGCTTGAACTCTGGGCCTGGGTGCTGTCCCTGAGCTTTTCAGCTCAAGGCAAATGCTCTACCACTTGAGTCACAGCACCACTTCCAGTTTTCTGGTGGTTTATCGGAGATAAGAGTCTCACGAACTTTCCTACCCCAGCTGGCTTTGAATCACAATCCTCAGATCTCAGCCTAGGGTTACAGGTGTGAGCCACCAGCACCTGCCCCACTTTTTTTCTTTTTCTTTTTTGCTGGTTAACTGAAGATAAATGTCTTTGGATTTGTCTGCCTGGGTTGGCTTCAAACTATCATCCTCAGATCTCAGCTTTCTGAGTATCTGAAATTACAGGTATGAGAGCCTGGCGTCTGGCACTTTTTATGTTTTTGTTCTTGTTGGTCATGGAGCTTTCACTCAGACCTGGGCACTGTCCCTAAGCAATTTCTACTCAAGGCTAGTGCGCTACCATTTTGAGCCACAACCCCACTTGTGGTTTTTGTGTGGTTAATTGGAGGTTAGAATCTCATGGGGACTTTTCTGCCCAGGCTGGCTTCAAATTGTGATTCTCAAATCTTAGCCTCCTGAGAAGCTAGGATTACAGGTGTGAGAGACTGATGCCTGGTTCACTGGTTTTTTTGTTTGTTTTTGTTTTTGCTGGTCATGGGGCTTGAACTCTGGGCCTGGGCGCTGTCCCTCAGCTCTTCAGCTCAAGGCTAGCACTCTACCATTTGAGCCACGACACCACTTCCAGTTTTCTGGTGGTTTATTGGAGATAAGAATCTCACAAACTTTCCTGCCCAGGCTGGCTTTGAACCTCGATCCTCAGATCTCAGACTCCTGAGTAGTTAGGATTACAGGCGTGAGCCACCGATGCCCAGCAAGGACCCTGTTTTGAAACCAGCCCAGGCAATAAAATCTGTGAGAACCCTTATCTCCAGTGACCAAGGGGAAAAGTCAAAAGTGGAGGTATAACTCACATGGCTGAGCTCCAGCCTTGAGTTGAAAAAAGCCAAGCAAGTGTGAAATTCAGGCCCTTGAGCTCAATCCCCCAGTGCAGACCCAAAAACAAACAAACAACAACAACAAAAGTTGTAAGATCAGTCTGCCCTGCCCAACTGGGAACTTTCTCTCCATCACATCAGCTGTCCAGTCATGGAAGGTTTCCCATTTTGTGGGGTCAGTGGTTCCTTCTCCATGGGTGTGGCCAGTTTCCGCTCCCACCTTTCCCACAGTGCCTTCTCCTTCTGGGCTGCCGGGCGCCCACTGGTCTCTGTGTCACCACAGACAAAGAGCAAACCTTATGAGCTGAGGGAAGGCATGGAGGAGACTCCAGCCTGAGGCCTTCCCTCAGCCCTCAGCTGAAGCTGATTAAAGGTGGCTCAACCCAAACAGGAACTCTAAAAAAAATGAATGCAGGGCGCCCTCTGCTGGACAGGTCGCAGACTTCCTTAGGTTCTGAGCTGAAAACCTAAGTAGCCAAGGAGGGAGGGCTGCAGGGGAAGAAGCCCCTAATATTTGGATTTAAGACCCATTCTGTATGCTCTGGAATCTTTTTGGAAGCTACAGGGAAGAAGTAGTTTGTTAGGATCTAAAGTTTGGCTTCAGCCGTGCACTGGTGGCTCACACCTATCATCCTAGCTACTCAGGAGGTTGAGATCTGAGGATCATCAGTTCAAAGCCAGCCTGGACAGGAAAGTCCATGAGACTCTTATCTCCAATTGATCACCAGAAAACTGGAAGTGGTGCTGTGGCTCAGAGGTAGAGCACTGGCCTTGAACGAAAAAAGTTCAGCAATAGCACCCAGAACTTGAGTTCAAGCCCCCTGACCCACTAAAAGAAAAAGAAAAAGGTAAGAAAAGAAAAAAATAAGTTTGGCTTTCCCAGAAAGACTTTCCAGGACACAAAGCCACTGTGTGTCCATCTTCAGAGCCCAAGTTAGTTCCTCCTGAGTGCAAGCCATTTCTTATTTCCAAATCTCTCAGAGTGATCCACTGCAAGTCTCATGAAGGGATCCAATCCTCAGTCTTGCAATAGGAGCATGCTGAAGGCCTGTAATGCTCAAATCCTTTGAGCGTTGGAAAGTCGTAATGTTTAACAGATGGTACATAAGCTGGTATAGTGGCTTACGCCCATGATCCTGGGAATGGGGGGGGGGATAAGGAGGATTAAGTTGGAGGCCAACCCCTCTCCCCCTCAAAAAAATAAGTTCAGAAGAAGACCTGTCAAATCTTAAAAAATACTCAGGAAGCTGAGATCTGAGGATTGTGGTTCAAAGCCAGCCCGGCCAGGAAAGTTCGTGAGACTCTTATCTCTAATAAACCACTAGAAAACTGGAAGTGACACTGTGGTTCAAGTGGTAGAGCACTTACCTTGAGCTGAAGAGCTCAGGGACAGTGCCCAGACCCAGAGTTCAACCAACAACAACAACAAAAAAAAAACTAAAAAATGTGTGTGTGACAGGGAATATCTGTCACCCAAACTACAGAGGAAGGATAAGTAGGAAGTTCACAATCCAGGATGAGCAGAACATTAAGGTGAGACCTTCAAAAACTAAAGGAAAAAAGTCTGGGGCAAGGCTCACGTGGTAGAGCCCCAGCCTCACAAGTTCAAGGCCCTTAGTTCAACCTGAGGGGGGGGAGGGTGAGATAAGGAAATAGATGATAGATAAAAAGGGAGGGAGAAAAGGGAGGAGAGGGATGAAGGGAGAGACGTGAAAAAGAAGGTAGAGAAAGCTAGGCACTGGTGGCTCACGCCTGTAATCCCAGCTACTCAGGAGATCTGAGGATCCAGGTATGAAGCAAGCTGGGGTAGAAAAAGTCTGTGAGACTCTTATCTCCAATTAATCCCAGAAGAAGCCAGAAGTGCAGCTGTGGCTCAAATGGTAGAGTAAAAGCCTTGAGTTCAAGCTCCAAGACCCAAAAAAAATGGTAGAGAAAGAGGGAGAGGCTGGGCACCGGTGGCTCATGCCTGTCATCCTACCTATTCCGGAAGCTGGGATCAGGGTTCAAAGCCAGCCCGGGCAGGAAAGTCTGTGAGACTCTTCTCTCCAATGAACCACTAGAAAACTGGAAGTGGTGCTGTGGCTCAAGTGGTAGAGAGCTAGCCTTGAGCTGAAGAGCTTAGGGACAGTGCCCAGGCCCAGAGTTCAAGCCCCATGACTGACCAACAAAGAAAAAGAAAGAAAGAAAAGAAAGAGGGAGAGGGAGAGCTAGGAAGAGAGATTGAGGGAAATGGAGAAAGGAAGGAAGGAGGGAGGGGAAGAAGGAAGGGGGAAGGAGAGACAGTATGTCAGTGGGGAGCACTTCTCATTAACTTATTTCTGCACCTTCCTGTGTCCAGGAAGACGCTGCTCTCTGTGCCAATGGCCTGGGGTCCTGCATGCTGCTGGCCCACCTGTGGATGACAGGGGCTGCCCATGCCTTTGCGTTTGCTTCTGAATGGCTGAGAGCCCAGGCAATGGCAGAGTACAGCCCGCCAGCGCCGCCGGTCACCAGGACCTTTTCTGCAATCAGCAAACCTGCCGGAGGGTGCTCAACTGCGTCTCAGACTCTTCCCCCTGAAATCGAGACGCAGCCCCAAGATGTGCAATAGGAATGCGGATGTTGTGTTGAAAAGTGAGTGTTTGCTTGGCTGGGAGCTACAGAGATCGTGCAGGAGAAATCAGGTTGATCCTTCGTTTCCTTTTTCCAGATCTTATACAGATGTGGAGCCACACCAAGCTGGAACAGGCACATCATTAGTTCAGCCATATTATCCCTGCTCCTTAACCAGTCCGTACCACCGCAGTCCACACACAGGACTGACCCACCACCACAGACTTCTCTCTTGCTGCACAACCATACCTGAGCCTTTCCCAGCATGCCCGATCTCTGGCTATCACCACTTTCTTCTCCAAGGCTGTGATTTGTTGTCATTTCAAGAATATTATCAGCCAGGTGCTAGCAGCTCACACCTGCAACCCTGGCTCTTCAACAGGCTGAGAGCTGAGGATCGAGTTGGAAGCCAGCCTGGGCAGGAAAGTCTGTGAGACTCTTCTTATCTGCAATGAGCCAGAAAAAAAAAAGTCAGAATTGGAGGTAGGGCTCAAGTGAAAGGAGTACCAGCTTTGAGCAGAAAACACCAAGGGAGAGCAAAAGGACCTGAATTCAAGCCCTAGGATGGACCAAAAAAAAAAAAAAAAAAAGAAAGAAAGAAAAAAGAAAATAAAGAATATTATGCAAACAGGATTATCCCTTTGAGACTGGAATGTTTTCCTTCAGCATTATGTCTTTGGTATTGATCCAAATGATTGCATGTGTCAACAGCTAATTCCTTTTTAATACTATTAAAATATTTACTTACAGAAGATATTAACTAAAATATTTTGTATTATCCCCAATTCTGAGCTGTTACACATTTGCTATGAAAATGCCAGCCAGCGCCTGCTTCTTTTTATTATTGTTGTGGTAAGAATCAAACCCAGGGGCTCATGCATGCTTAAGCAAGTATGCTCCCACAGAACCACCCCCAGCCCAGATTTTGATTTAATGTTTTGTCAGCCATGGATCTTAAACTCAGGGCCTGAGTTTTTGTGCTCAAGGATAGGACTCTGTCACTTGAACCACAGCTCCATTTTTGACTTTTTGGTGGTTCATTGGAGATAAGAGTCTTGCAGACTTTTCTGCCTGGGCTGGCTTTGAGCCATGATCCTCAGATCTCAGCCTCCTGAGAAGTGAGGATTCCAGAAAAGGTTTGTGTGTTGGCCCTCCTTGATGATTTTGTGTTACTCTCCTTTGCTCATTTTCTAAATGACTTTTTGTTGTTGTTTTGAAATTGTTGAGAATTGAGCATTCTTTCATTATTCCAGACTGGAGTCCATGATTAGGCATGTATAAGTACTCTTTTCTAATTTGTAGTTGGGCTTTCCATCTTTAATATGGGTCTTTTACAGAGAAAAGAAAATTTTTAGTGAGGCTTAACTTCCTTCTTCTGGAGATTATCTTTTTCATTTTTTTTTGCTGGTAGTGGGTCTTGAGCTCTGGGCTTGGGCATTGTCCCTCAGCTCTTCAGCTCAAGGTGAGCACTTTACCACTTGAGCCACAGCGCCACTTCTGGTTTTCTGGTGGCTAATTGGAGATAAGACATTCCTGCCTGGGCTGGCTTCGAACCGCAATCCTCAGATCTTAGCCCCCTGAATAACTAGGATTACAGGCGTGAGCCACCAGCTCCCAGTGATTACCTTTATATGTACTGTGCTTTTGGTGTCATGTAGAAGAATTCTTCAGCTTATATATTTATTATTAATTTATTCTTGTGCTGGCACTGGAGGTTGAACTCAGGGCCTTGTGTTCTCCCTATAAAATAGAATAAAAAGATTTTCAGATGTTGTGAGCCGGTAGCTCATGCCTGTATTCCTAGCTACTCAGGGGGCTGAGATCTGAGGATCACAGTCAGCCCAGGCAGGAAAGTCCATTAGCCTCTTATCTCCAATGAACCACCAGGATACTGGAAGTGGCACTGTGGCTCAAAGTGGTAGAGAGCTAGCCTTGAGCAAAAAGAGTTCAGGGACAGCACCCAGGCCCTGAATTCAAGCCCCACCACTGACAAAAAGAAAAGAGTCACGTGGCACAAACTTTATCCCTAGATTTGAGGGTGAGATGGTGGGACTTTAAGGGGCTGGGCCAATGGGAGTTGATTAGGTGGTGGAAGCCCCACCCTCCGAAGGGATTAATGTAGTTAAAGCAGTCAGTTAGAACAGCAGGTGGTTGTTGTTAAAGCCACACCACCCCTTCGTGTGCAGTCTCTTCTGCATGCAGGTAAATTTCCACGTCTCTACCTTGTAATAGAGCCAGGTGATCAGGGCAAACACGGGATAGTTGTGCCACGCTTCCTGGACTAATCTGGTCTTCCTGGCAGCCAACTAGTTATCTTTGCAGATTACCCAGCATCAAGTATTTTGAAGGGAGGCCTGAAATGCACAAAGTGACATGGTTAATAGTTTCCATAGATTATCATACTTGATTTTATTTTTATTTTTTTAATTTTTTTTGGGGGGGGGTCCTGTCGTGGGGCCTGAACTCTGGGCCTGGGCGCTGTCC